CATGTCCCTCCTACCCTACGACTCAACCCATGCCACCAACAACAGGGCGCACACTCGCGCAGGCGTATGCATCCGAACTGCAAGCCGCTTGCAGGCCTTTCTAATTCGGCCTCAGCACCCGTGCAGGCACAGAGGCGCTTGTCCGCCTCCTCGGCGTCGCCACGGAAATCGACCCGCGTGCCACCGTGCTGTCCATCGATGCAATCGGCGCGTTTGATCATGTGTCGCGCCACGCGATGCTTACTGCTTACTGCTTACTGGCTTCAGGCAGAGACCCAACCTCCAGCCGCTGCTGCCTCACGTGCGCTAATACGCCTCCGACAGCACGTACGTGTGGCAGGACGCCAGCAGGGAGTCCCACGAGGTGCGGCAATCTGATGGCGGAGAACAAGGCGACCCGCTCGTGCTTGCCCTCTACGCCATCGCTGCGCACCCTACCCTCGCAGCTGTTCACGCACAGCTGCATGAGGGCGAGGCGGTCTTTGCCTGCCTCGACGACATTTATGTCGTCGCAGTTCCCGAGCGCATCCGGGAAATGCAGGACGCCTGCCAACGGGCACTTCGCGAGCACGCGGTGCATGGAACTCAACCGTGGCAAAACCCGCATCTGGAACGCAGCGGGGGAGGAGCCCGCTGAAATTTCCGACCTCCGCGGCCACGGCGAGGAACCCATCTGGACAGGGGACTGGTCTCTGCCACGCGACTTCTCGTTCTCGGCACGCCGCCGGGTACCGACGTGTACACCCACGGAGCACCAACGCCTCCACACACGCATCCCCGAGTTCCCAGACCTGCAAGCGGCGTGGCTGCTTCTGCACTGTTGTGCCGCCCCCCGGGCCAACTACCTCCTGCGGAACGTCCCGCCCATACACACACCACGTGCTTGCCTGCACGCGAACCGGGTGTCTTGCCCAACGTGTAAAACTCGTCATGCGCTTCCATGTCGCCCGCGAAGCCGTTGGTCCCGAAGGGCAAGGGGTGCCCCAGCAATGGTTTTGCAATGTTTTGTAACCCCGCAGCACTTGGGTCTTCATACGCAGGGCGACGCTGCTGATGAAACATTCCTGTGCATGGCGGACATATGCAGCGCTTTCGAAACTATTTTGTGTACGTTTCCCGAACGATCTGTTTTTTTGAAAAGTCTTCTTGGCGGCCAAGGCTTAAGAGTCTAGACAACGCTTGTTGGCGCCGCTGCCAGTGTAGATAGGCACACCAGGGTTTTGAAGGGTAGTGGTTTCGACAGTTCAGTGGCTGTAAGATTTAGGCTTTGTCATGCCTTTTCATTTATTGGTATAAGGTATACGGGTACTTATAGGGTGTCAACGTGTAGAGAAGGTGCTTGGCTTTCGTGGTTGAAGGGTCGAATTGTTCACGTTTAACAGCTTTTACTAATTTTTTTTGTTGTGCAGCCCATCTAAAAACCCCTCCTCTCGGCGCCGCTTCGCCCCTTGCTTCCCGTGATTAGGAAGAAGCAACAATAATAGATGTTATCCGGAATTAAAAAGGGAGTGGCAATAATAATAGTAATATTAATACCTAATATTAGTTCCAATACAAAAAAAGATACCAATACTGAGAGTAACACTAATACTCGTGAATTCATGAAGCGGTAAGCGTCCTATGTGAGGCTTACATTGCCGCCCTGGAGCGCGACCTGGCGCAGATGAAACAAGCGTTCTCTTCTGAAGAGCTGGCAGGCAGAACTGCAGAAGTCAGTCTGTGGAGATTCAGTGATTTGAAACCAACCCTTGGATATCTTTGGTATTAGTTGCTGGCACGTTGATTCGAGCTAGCGTGATGTGAAGGTGGCGTCCAACGAACCGGTGTCCAGGCAGGCGACCCCCTTTGTGCAGGAGGCATGTGCATGTGGAATGTGCCGCAGGCCATCAGCGAAGATGGCTGCAGCGACGTTGGACTGACGCACTATAAAACTGTTGACGGGTGCGTGTGTGTGTGTGTGTGTGTGTGAGCGCGCACACCTGCCGCTAAGAGGGAAGCGCTGCATGCTGTTGGAGGCACCACTGAACGAAGAGATTCTTTCAGCATGGTGATATCGACCTGGGACGCTGGGTCGCCGTACCTGCAGAAATGGTCGCCCAAATGCACCCTTCCGTACGAGGCCAAAAAAGTGAAGAAGATCAAGCATGATCAGCTTGCATAGGTGTGACTAACCTGCTAACCCATGTAACAACCGCGGTTATATTGAGGGTCAGTCCACGCGTGTGAACCGGCTGAATATCTGGCGGAGTGCCAGTCGTGACGATCCAGCTTTATATAGAAAGTGCAGTGGCCAGAAAGATGACCTTCCAACATCTGACTTACTAACTGCTCGTATGTTTCAAAGGATGACATCTCGAAGACGGTTATAGTCGAGGCCTCACCCACGTAGACCTTCCGAAGCTTATAGGGAGAGGAGCCTTCCTGTTGCCAGTGACTTTGTTTAATGTCAAATCGGGAGCAATGTCGGCTTGTGCATTTGTCATGTTTTGCAATCATGTTGGTTAAGGTCGGCATGTGCAGTTTTGGCTGTTTGCGGTCATCTGTTTAAAGCTGGCCGTTCATGCACATGTATTTAGAGACTTTCGGTTCACATTACGGGGAATTCGGCTAGTACCAAAAGAGCTGCTCACGATGTATGTCGAAGATGTGGATTTGGATTTTGTACGAAGCCGGTGTTTTCATTTGAGGGAGATTATCAGCGCTTCCTCGAACCATGCACTACCTACGTTGGCTTTTGAGGACCCAGATGTCGAGTCCAAAGCGCCAAATTTCAACTCATAGGTAGAATTTTTGCGTCGGCTATATACAACATGTGAGTGTCAACAGCGGCAAGATGCTAGACTACGCAAATTCAAGCAACTACAATAAAATAAGACGATTTCCTGTGAGCTGTCGCGACAATGGTTTCGCGCATGCGACAGCATTGATCAGTGTGTCATGGTTCCGTTACGGGAGCGTGCATCACCTATGGAAGTTAAAGCTGCGGAAGCCAGTCTTATCCAACAATGGGCACACCACTCGATTTCCCTTCATCATCCGGTTCATGCCCGCAAAGACCAGTACTTAGATTTCGTCTCATTGCATGGTGAGCTGGTAGCACTTTGTTTCGCCAGCTTCGTCGTCGCATGTTTCACACCATGCGATGCTACTACAAGAGCATCCCGAAGTTTCTATTACAGTTTTTGATGGCAACCCACACATTGCTTCGGAAGCCAAGTGTCTTGCTGTTTCTCGCAGGCTACGGTTCTGGTGTGTTCTGGTTGTGTTGCTTCGCCACTACACCAGTCTGTCCTGATTTGGAAGAATATGCACGCACAGCCTGGAAAGCTGTTTCCAAATGGCTACAACACTACAAGCTTGTCGGCATCACGTGTCAGAGGCTTCCTTTTGCAGGAATGGAAGCAGCACAGAACGTGGGCACAAGTACACATTTCTGTGCAAGATGTACGATTTCTTTGGGAAGTTAATCAAAAACTGGTTGTACAAGAAAGAGATCATGAAGGGAATCAGGGTTCATGTGTTCCTGACGTACCAACTTCGTACTTCTTGTTCAAGGCAAAGAAACCGTTTCTTGCCGTTCGTCCCATCACCAAATACCTACCGTACGCTTCCTTTCAGCTGTTTCGCTGTACTGCCTTTGTTAGATGTTTCGGCGTCTTCAGCAGTTTCTTCGCCATACACAGTTGGAACATCATTGGGAAGAGTCGCATCAAGATTTGATTGATCTTTTTTTCGTCCGACGCATTTAAGAAGCAGTTCAAGAGATGGTTGATTAATACAAAGAACTTCATCAAGATGATGAGCACAGTGTGTTGACCGTGTTTCCTGTAGAGAAAGATATCAAACTCATCCAGGAACCAGGAGAGCACCACAAATAGTGCATTTTGCACGTGGCTAAAGGACATCATGCCATTGTGTACACTGTCGCCGCAAGCGTCGTTTTCGTGCACATGCAGCATGTCTTCCAGCGGGTTGCAGGAAGCCCAGTGGGAAACCAAAGCTTCCCTGTGTTGGCTGATTCTGCTGTAAACCAACATGAGTTACAGCTGCACAAGGAAATGGTTAATTTGCAAGTGTGTTGACAATCGCCTTTGGATTTTTCTGACCGCATTCAACATTTTTTTGGTGGCTTCAGGATCTCTGCAGCTTGAATTTCTATGAGCATCCTGTACAGTTGGAAAAGGTCGAACCGTATGGGCCAAAGAAATGAAGCAGTACGAGCATGATCAGATTGCAGAGATGTGATTAACCTGCAAACCCATGTTTTTGCTCCGGGCATATCGAGCGTCATTCCACAAAAGTGTGTGTGTGTGTGTCATGCAACCGGGGATACTAGATCTCGTTAACGAGGGCAGGAGATCTCGTTAAAGAGGGCTTGCCCTGGCACTGAGCGCCAGGATCTTCCAGCTCGGATTCATTGATGGATGGCCCGAGCGGCTGTGCTGCAGAACTTCAGGCGGCGACCCCAGAGCAAATGTTGTCGGTCCCACGGAGCGGAGCGCACCGCCTGTTGCGGCCAAACCGAGGACGAGCTGCACGTGCTCTTACGACAGAAGGCCGCTTCAGTCTGGGTGAGAAGCCTTTCTTTTTGAAAGAGCGGTGGGTTGCAGGAGCTTTTGGAATCGCGCCTGGCGAAAACGCAAGCGCTTAGCTCCCGGCCTGTCCCCGAGCGTGAATGTGCTACAGCGTCCCAGCGTTTTGACCATGCGGGATGGGTTGCACAAAAGCCATAGCCTGGCTCAAGATTCAATCCGATTGCGTACCCGTCCCGTGCCTGATCATCCACAGCACGGGCTGATGAACCCGTACTCCTCCGTGTATACCAAGCCCGCAGAATATGGCAGCGCCAACTGGCAAGAACGGGTGTTTGAACCGATGACATGCCGGCTGCTAATTCTGAGCACGGCGCAGCTTGCGCTCTTGGTTCTGATGCCTTGGGCCATCTTTGCATCGCTCAGCTGGGGGCTGATGTCATTGGCAGTCTATTTGTATCCATGGTTGAGCCACGTAATGATTGTTGGCACAGCGATGCTGGTGCTCCTCACAGTGGTCGCAGCACTACTCTCCAGGGGCCGGTGGTTGAAGAAAGGCAGCAGAGAAGACAATCATCCCCGTTTCATGCGGGGCTATGCATGGTGGGCGGCACTCGCAGCACTGTCCTTGATTGCTTTCGTTGCTGGTTCACTAGTGGGTTCCATGATCTTCACGAAGTACATGAAGGGCTACTATGACATCTCCAACCTCGACAGCTACGACAATGTCGACCCGTCACGGGCTGCAGGGAAGCAGCTGCTTGACGCTGGCCGTGTGATTTTCGTGAAGGGTTCCACTTTGCAGCTGAAGCATGCCATGGCGCAGCAAGACAGCACTAGTAGAACAGGGATGCACGAGTTTTTCCCGCCCATTGCCCTTTACATATCCTTTTCAGCTTTGTGCTTTTGCCATGCCAGGCACCAGAACACTTCCATGAAAATGTATTGTGTCGCGCCCATCATTGCTGCCTCTGATCAGCCGCTCCCTGCCACGTACGATCTGTGGGCCGCAGGAACAGATTGTTGCTCTGATGGCGGCAGCAACTTCACCTGTGGAGCTTCACGCTCCTCAGGAGCACGAGGTGGTCTTCGGTTATTAAGCCGGGAGGACGACTACAATTTTAGGCTCGCCGTGGAGGATGCGGAATTTATGTATCACATGCGCTCCGTTCACCCGCTCTTCTTCGAGTGGACGGTCGATCCCATCAAAGAGATCACAGCAAGGAAGGATGAGGCTTTCTGGGTATATTTTGCGACCAACCTGATGCTGCTTGGCTTGACCTATGGACTCGAAAGACAGTGTCAGTATGAGCTTAGTGGAATGGCTTCGCCACAGGGCTTGTTGAGTGCCACTCAGGTTTCTTCTTTGTGCCTTCTTCCTGGTGGTCATGGGCTATGCCTGTTTCCAGCGCCTTGCAAAGCGCTGAGTCAGCACGATCCGAGACGAAGCCGTGCTGGGAGAAAGTTGCGGGGGCAACTGCTACTGTGTGCCTTTCGAAGCGGGGTATTCGGTGCAAAAATTGACGGCAGGCTGGCGACGTCACTGGCCGGCTGTGATCTCTACGGCAAGGTCTGTGAGGCCTTGGCGCCGGGTGAGGGCCAATGCCCCAACGGAGGGATGAGACGATGTCGTGCTCCAGGAGCTGGTGGACTCGGAGGAGCTGGAGCTGAGTCACTGGGAGGCCGGATTGCGTCTTTGGGGAAGTTGTCCCGCTTGTCTCTGGCTTTGACTGTTTTTGACTTCTCGTGCAAGGAAAGCAGCACCAGCTCGGAGCCTGTAGATAGGACCGAAGAAAGCATGGGGTCATGTCCTGCGGGGGGTTGGGTTGAATTGGCCTTCTCTGATGTGGAAGGAGTCGACCAGAATCGGGCAGCGAAACGCTTGGCATTAGCCTGAGCAGCATCTGCCGAGTTGCAACTCTCCGAAAGCGCCCTGTGCCACGCATTGGAGCAAGATGCAGGCCCTCTCGTGAGCTTAGCTTTCCGCAGTTGTGCAAGGCTCGCTTATGCATGTACTGCAGAACGCCTCACCGGAGGACCACGCCTGCTCTCGCAACTAGTATGTAGAGTCTGGTGGAGTTGCTCCTCATTGCTGCAGCCGCTTCTGCATCGACGCCTTGCTCGGAGGAGCGACGTAAAGCTGTCGCAGACATCTCCCAAGAACGCTTCATGCAGCTTATCAGCAGCATGCCGGAGGCTGGTAGTAACAAGTTACGTGCAGCATCTTGCTGCAGGCGATAAGTGTTGGGAGAGAGAGGGCTGCAGCAGATTGGACGCACCTCCATTGCTAGGACGACGAAGTTGACCTACAAGGCATGCCCTGGGCCCCACAAATCCGAATTCGTCGTTGTGCTTCTGTATGATTGCCCAAGTTGACTGGTGGCAGAGAAGGTGGGGTGAGTTTTGTCGATGACCTGGACGGCACCTGGATCGATCAAGACACTGTGGACATGACAGAAAGCTAGCTTCTCAGACCCAGACTCCAGCGCTCAAGTCAGCAGAGATGTAAACCCATCTAAATCGCGACTCGCGCTCAAGGCCATCCGTCCCGGCTGCGACGTCAGAGCGCGACTTGGAAGCCGCTAATATGACGTGTTGTTCCCTTTGTGAAATTCAGGGGTTCCTTGCAATCTTTGGTCAAACGCTGCAGAGGCTGCCGCGCCGGATGCATGCTCGGCGCTGTGTCTTTCCTCCTGCAACAAGCCCAGTGAGCCCAGCCGCTTGGCTCGCATCGTTTGCTCAAGCATGACACCCAACTGTGCGCTTCTGCGTAGGAAACACGAAGCCACTTGGCCAGTTGCAAGTGGACGGAGAGCTTCCAGTTTGCGGCTCGGACATCTGCCGTATGCTTCGCCTCGGATGATGGTGCTGGAGGAATCGGCAAGCAGGCGACATGTTTCGTGCTTGCCCAAGGCGCCTGAATTCGCACACGTGCTCTTGCGATTGCCTCCAAGGCACAAATTGCTTGCATCCGACGCATCAGACAGCGAGCCCGTTTGCACACCTAATGCTGCAGTGGCGCACGAGGAGCCGTGCACACAATGCTGCGGCAGAGCTTTCGAGTGCGTGGGAGAGATGTTTGGGTAAGCCTCACCGTGAACAAGGAGAGCCGCTCCGGGATGAATTCATTGGGCAAGCTTCACATGTTGTGATTCTGGAGGAGTTGTGAGCTTGAAAGACTCTGGAGTTGATGGCGAGGCAGTCTGGTATTCGTGACTTGCAAATCTCGTCTGCAAAGCCTTCGCAGGCCATTTCGGCGTGGCTGGGTGGTGAAACCTCCAGTACAATGTGCTGTGCTAGGCGGAGCCTTGCATGGCATCACGTTGGGATGAAGACCCGGGTCGTGCCTGGGCGGCGAGAAGGGTTCCCCCCCTTTCATGTGGTGCCAGGATACTGGAATCTACCGTGCGAGGCCGCGAGCTCATGCTGCAAGCATGCATGGGACGATCGTTTCGATGTTGCTGCATGCTTCAGCTGTATATTTCATCCGATGTCATGCTGTTTTTGTGCTCGAGTGCCAACATCCAGCGACTATGCTGCTGAGAAGGCCCGAGCACAGTGAACACCTTTGCAGAACAAAGATGCATCCCCGAGTCCTCGGCCAGTTTGGGAAAGCAACTGGAGCACACTAGAAAGATAACCTTGGCATCTACATGTGTCGCATGGTAGTCTTCTTCAGGGATGGATGCGGCTGGGCGGCTGGATGAGCCGCTATTGGCCGAAGATACACCGCCTTTCAGCGTGACGAGCAAGGTGCCCGCTCCGGACTGCTCGGAGCATGGGCTGTTTGCATTCTTTCGAGATGTTTCGGAAGAAGATGGAAGACGATACTGTATGAGGCGGTCTCCACCTTGCGACTGATGCCGAACAGAGCTCCTGCACCTGTGGCTCGGCCAAAGGCAAGGACAGATAGAATAGAACTTGCCGAGAGATGGCGATCGCCTTCAGGCCAGCTTCCCATATTCTGAGTAGCAAAAAGAAGTTCAACGTTTGAGCTTCCGCGCAATGCACTGGCTACAGCAAGAAGTCGATGTCTCATCTCGATGTTCAGGTCCCAGAATCCTTGCCCAACCAGATGCCCAACCAGGTGCGAACATTGCCAAAAGCAAAAGTTGCGCAACCGGTACTTGCATTGTGTATTCTGCATTCGGAGCTTGAGTTGCCCCCCTCAGATCTTTGCGAGAATGGCATGCGAATGCCTCGGTCTCAGCATGCGGGGCCTCCAGTGGATATATACACCTATCTACAGATATGCCCTATATGTTTTGTCTTTCGGTCGCAGCGGGATGGTGTGCCAAGCCTGTCTCCTGTGCTGCACTTGGCACACCCTGGTGACATTATCCTTCTTTTTCATTCTGATTCCTTTGCATTAACAGAGCTGGCAGGGGGTCATGCAGAAGCCGGGTTTGTGACGATTCTCATTCACCTACCTGCCACGGTCTCGTGTCGGCTGATGTGCCCGTTTGCTTCTCGATCTGAGGTGGTGGGCGCTTGCTGAAAGAGATCGATGGCCCGGATGGTCACGCAGTCTTCGATGCAACCTTGGAGCATGCAATGACGCTCGGAGATGGTTATCACCGGGTCACTGAGTTACCGGATTTCTGTTGAGATGTCGGCTTTGTATCAGCAGCTGTGAGGCGTCTGTTCGAAGCAAGCACCGGCTTGGACCAGCAGATATCAAGAGCCTTGAGAACAATAAGCCTTTCCTTGATTGAATGCTTTGTTGTCCTCCGGTCGCATGTGGCCACTTTGCGGGAACAAGGAAAGCAACTTCCTTGCAGCAGATCCTTGGATGATGTCTTGTTGCTGAACCAAGACGGGCCATTGCTCTCTCTCTCTCTCTCTCTCTCTCTCTCGTACCATTGCAGTCTGAGGACTCCCATCTCGAGGAAACAGTTTCGACGACTCGCCCCGAGTACTGCCGTGGCGGAGATCAACCAGTGATATAGAAAAGAGGATTCACGAAGATGATGGCCGCTCTGCTGCCTAGCTTGAGCTCTGCTTTGCAAAGCTTTGGATCATGTGAAAAGCAGACATTGAGAACAACTGGAATCGGCATAAGGAACAACCATGATGGATATGGACTCCCTGCGGAAAGCCCTAGAGCTGGAAGGCTTCTTGCACCCGAAGCTCGTGTCGCATGTGTTCTGTGCGGGCGCATGTGCCAAATTAATTGTAGCGCGTGTTTGGTCACTGAATAGTGTGTAGCGGGAAGGTAAGGGAAGCGAAATTCCGATAAGGCTCTTGCTGTGCACCGCTTTGCAATGGATTTGTCGTCTCCCATGCGAGAACGGAGCTGTGCAGCGTGCAGTCGCAAGTTGAACGCTTCGTGCCTTGTGCGTGAGCGGCTGCAGTCTGGCAATGCTTTTGACCCAGCACATCACTCCGTCATGAGTTCTTGTTGTTTGTCAGGGACAAGGGAAGCCAGAGAAGAAGTCTTCAAGCGTGAATTCTGTGCCTGCAGGATTCGCGAAACTCGAGGGTCCACTCTTCGAAGCTTTGTGGAACCCCGGCTGACAAGCTCTTAGATCGATGCACATGTCACGCCACCCAGGGACCATGTTGAAACAGCGGCAATGATGGAATCTCATCCCAGGCGATCGCTCGGGAAGGACATCCATGAAAGCTTGGATTCTTCATTGTTCCATACTATCTATTGTAAGTTGCTGCCTTGCCAAAGCTGCTTCAGCTTGAGAGTGCGTTGAAAAACTCCACTTGCATCCAACCACGCAGGCGGGCTTGTATTCAGGGAATCGGAAGCAAGTTTCGCCTGGAAGAAGCTGGCCAGAAACGGCAAAAGCTCTGCAAGTAGAGCTCAGCCATGAGAACTTGAGACCGACAACAAGTGCTGACGCTTTCTCGAAGCTTGAGCTTGGGGAGTTTATTCACGATACAGCTCTCTCTGCTAAAGGGGCCGTAGAACTTGTCAGCACTTGACGATGTGCTGGTGGAGGCAAAGCAAATAAAGCAAGCTGTAAAACCATAAAGGTTCGAGATCTAGGCCGAGAGCGCGCTGCACAGAATCACACGTTTCCGGTAAGCATGCGCCAACATGTTCTCCCAGCATAACCTGTTGCACCGCAGGAATCTGTGGATGTCCGCGCCTTCCACAGGTCGTGATTCGATGTTCATTCCTCGATTAATTCAGACCAAAGCACGCAGCTCCCATCTTGCTGGCAGGGTTCTCCGGTTGCTGAAGTTGCACCTGCTTTGTGGCAGCTTGCCGGACCTTACATCCGGAGATCGAATTCGTCCTCCTTTGGAACCAGAGCGGGGCTTCGTCGGAGTCATTGCTCCTCAGCGAGTTATTCTGGCTCGTTTTGGGCTTCTCGATCTGGAGTACACTGGGGAGTTTGGGACTCTGATGGCTCTTGCCACATCCGCGACATTACTCCTGCTTTAACCGAGGATTGGAACCCAAGGCTGGTGATTCGTCCATGAAGCTCGACAGTACATCCCGGATCATTTGCTGCCAAACAGGACTGTCCGGGAAAATTACTTCGAGCGGACGGATGATCTGGATATATTCCTCAGCCACAGGCATCCTGCAATGAAGATGCGCTGCTTGTCAGCATCGCTTTGCTTTATCAGCTGCCTGCTTCGTGTGCCCAGAGCAGAGAACACGGGGAGTGATCAGCGAGGCCGCGTGTAAAGTGGAGTATCCTTCGCACTGCTGTGCAGAAAGCAAGCTTGCAAATGACAAAGCTAGGCTGGGTGCACTGCAGCGATGTGGGCAAGGCGCGGCACTTTGATGTTCGAGGTAGGCTTACGGTAGATTCGTTCGGGGTGCTGTTGCAACCATCAGACCAGAAGTTGATGCACGCCTGCGACTTGAGCGCTCCTCGTGCTTCAGGCCACAATTCTCAGATTAGCAGTGAAGTATCAGCTTCACCCTTTGCCGGTGGAAGACACAATGCAGCGCCTGGACTGAGTGTCGTCGTTGATGGTCGTCGTGCGTGTCCTTGTAACGGCGAGTGTGGCTATGTCTCAAGGTTGCAGCAGCAGTCCATGCCAGTGATGCGGATTTACCACCACAATTTTTTCATTATCTTGCCCTTGCTGAGACTTACCACGCCGCTTGGATCACGGCTAGTCACATTTTACATGGACCAGAGAGTACTGTTACAATAGCCGGGTGACATCGCTCAACTCGAGATTTACCAGGCCAGCTAGAAATGAGCTCGAAAGATTCGAGCGGGCCCGTCATGATCGAGACGGCGAGGAGACGTTGCCGCCAAGGTGGAAGTCCGCAGTTGTAGCAGCAGCAGGGTGTTCGATGTTGTCGTGGTTTGTGGCCGGCACCGGTGGATGTTTCCAGGCGCGCAAGCAGCCGTTCCCTCGTCTTGGATCCAGATTCTGAGCTGCTTTTCAGTTGTTGTCAGAAGCTTTTTGACTTTCGTTTTCTGATCTGTTTGCTGTAGCACATGGGAGCTTGCTAGGACAGCCAGGCTCCTTGTGAGGTGTGCATTGAGCAGGCAGGATGTGATGCGATTGAAAATAAAAATGTTTCCAATGGCCTGAAGTCAAGATGCGCCAACATACAGCTCTTGTGCAGGGACGGGTGGCACTTTTCGTGGCTGGCCCACCAAAGTTTGACACGGTGACGCCAGGCTGCGCTGGTTGATGACTGGAAGAGGGTTTCGAATTGCAGAAGCTAAGGATCAGCGTGCAGACAAAGTGGGTGACACATCAGTCGGACGATGGTACCAATCAATCGTCTGAATCGCCACGTCTGAGCGAGATAAGGCTTTGCTGTAAGTGTCAGCGGTTTGCACTGGTCTGAGCAGACAGCTCTTACAACACGGCTGGGGCAAGCTGACACTGCATCCAGGGTTCAGTCGGCCTCCGAATGGTTTTGCTTGTTCTCCGCTTTACCAACTTGTGGGGGACCGTGCAGGTGCTGCAGGCGAAGACGGCGCTTCGGTGGCAGAAGTGCCCGGACGTTGCTTGCTTGCAGCGCAGGCAAGAGGTACGCAATATTTTGACGTGTTAATGAGTCCAGTCGGACAATCCAAGAGGAGGACATACTTTGGCCGTAATGTTTTTGTATTTTTTGGATTTACTTTTTTGATTAGGGAGCGGGGCACGGTGTATAGTACAAAAAAGAAGAAGAGAATCAAGGTCACGTGCTGATAAAAACCCTGGTGTTTT